GACCAAACTGCAGCTCTGCAACTGCATCCTGGCCCATCCTCACCCTTCTGCCCCCAACCCTCACCTCCTTGTACCCCCAATATGTTTTTCCCAATAAAAAATATTAATAAAAAAATTCTGTATCAGAAAGTTTCACCAGACTTTCTGGCTTCAGGAAAAGAAAAAAAAAAGACAGTTCTAACTACTGGGCCACTTGGCCACATCATGATGGATGGAGAAGAGATTGTGGTTGTTAACAATTACAGCTTACTCGGATCCAGAATCAACATTATTGAAACCAGAAGTCAAGAAATCAAAAGATGAAATGTGTTGGGGAAGTCTGTTGTCAGAGACCACCTCTCCACAGTGCTGAGGAGCAATGATATCAGTGTGGAGACTAAGGTGCTCCTGATCCAAGCCATGCTATGTGTCAGGTGAACAATAACTACAGATGACAGAAGAAGAATCGATGCCTTTGAGTTGTGCTGGAGAAGAGTCTTGAACATACATACCATGGACCACCAAGAGAACAAATAGATCTTTTTTTGTATTTTGTTGTTGTTGTTGTTATGTATCATCAAATCAGATCCGACTGGCACAGGAGATGTCCCCTCCTTCTCTGGTGGAGCATCTGGTGGATTCGAACTGTGTGCCTTCAGGATTGCAGTACAGCTTCTTGCCAGTAGGCCACCAGAGCTCCCCCAAATAGGTCTGTCTTGGTGAAGGTAAAATCAGATTTCTCCTTGGAGGTAAGGATTTTGAAGTTCCATCTTATATACTTGGGGTACTTGGCCAGGAGGGACTGATCCTTGGAGAAAGACAGCATGCTTGGAAGGACGGAGGGACAGGGTAGGAGAGGAAGCCTCCAGTAGAGATGGATTGATTGAGTGACTGGAGCAATGGGATTAGTTGTGCCAGAGTCAGTGAAACTGGCTCAGGATAGGGCAGAATTCAGAGCTGTTGTACATACTGTTGCTGTTAGTCGCAGGTGATTTGGTGTCACCTAACAACAGCAGAGGAAAATTATGAAGTAATTTTTCAGCCAAATGAATGTGATAACTTTTGAAAAACTTAATTATGATTACTCTAAGTTGTACGTTCAGACAGACTGGAGATATTCTGAGACTTCTACGGCAATATTACTTAACAATGTTCTTTCACATTAAGTGTTCAAAGGAAAAAATACCATACAGTGTTCACTTACATATATATTTTTTTTCTTAAGGTGAAAATCAAGATACAAATAGATGAATTTTTTCAGCCTGTTAAGCCCTACTATATAATCATTCACTGTTGTAGAGTTGAATAAGACTCATAGCTACCCTCCATCATATTTCCAAATTGTTATAGGAAACTGCCTATCTTTTTCCTATACACTGTTGTTGGTACCATAGAGTTGGAACTGATCTGTAGTTTACCCCCTAGCAGGTTTTCAGAGACAATTAATCCCATGAGAAAAGATTGCCCATCTTTCTCCCACGGAACAGTTGTTGGATTTGAACCACGTACCTTTGTGTTGCCAGTACAACTCCTTACCACTAAGCCACCAGAGCTCTAGGGTCCTGAAATAATGTGTAGGATCTTATGCATTTATTTAAATGTGTGCGTCTACATGAGTATTTAAAACAGATTCACTTCCTTTATTAAATGCACAGTAGCTTGCCTTTAGAGTGTTTATTACTAAGTTTGGTTATTGCAGGGTTCTGTTTGTGACTAATAACATACTAACTTCTCAAACAATGATATGCAATGAACACTTGGTTAAATTTTTCTTTCAGGATTATAAAGGAAATGTCTTCTTTGGATTATATGATTGTCAAACCAGGCAAAATGAGGTAAAAAAAAAATAATAGCCATAAACTATTGTTTAAGTCCATGACAGAACGTTTACACCACATACTTGGACAGTCAGGGCAGATTTCTAAGAAAACGTTATAAACATCCTTGCTGTTGTGTACTATCTAGTCAAAACCAACCCATAGTGACCTCTAGTGAGTTTTCAGAGACAGAGAGCAGTCTTTGGGTTGGCAGTGCTACAGAAACAGTGTTAATGACTTCAAAAGAATACCAAGTTTATTGCTGTGTTGTTCACAAGAGCAAAGACATAGAAACAACCCAAGTGCCCAACAAATGAGTAGATAGAGAAGCTGTGGTATAGTCACACAACGGAATACTACACAGCACTGAAAAATAA